GTAGCCGGTGACTCACGGCAGCCCAGCTCCAGGTTGAGCTGTTGTTCAGCATCTTAGCTGTAGAGGGCAGTGTCACTGGCCCTCATATGTGGGATCCGAAATGGGGCCCTCTGGCGTCCCAAGCCAGTTCTTAACCATTGTGCCACTCGGCTGGCCCTCAGTAGTTCTAATTTTTAAAAAATAAATAGGGCTGGCCAAGTGGCTCAGTTGGTTAAAAGCGTGAACTCTGAGCAACAGGGTTGCCGGTTCGATTCCCACATGGGCCAGTGAGCTGCGCCCGAGCTGAGTTGCCACTGAGTTGCCAACAGGTGGCAGGATGGTTCAGCTGGTAAGAGCGCGTGCTCCTAACAAGGTTTCCGGTTCGATTCCCTCATGGGATGGTGGGTTACGCCCACTTGTAACTAAGACTGAACACAGCAGCTTGAGCTGAGTGGCTATGAGCTGCCAACGGGCGGCCGGATGGCGACTGGACTTGGAGCTGAGCTAGCTGCACCCTCCACAACTAAGATTGAAGGACAACTTGGCTGTTCCCCTTCCTCAATTCCCCAATTCCCCAACACTGTTTCCCTTCCCCAATTCCCCAATAACATCTTTTTTTAAAAAAATAATAATTAATTAAATAGCCTTTTGAGGATTAAATGCTTAAAATGAGGAAGTTTACGTAATGTGGCTGTCAGTACCAAATGAATGAATGACTTGTGGGAAATGTTGAAGACAGGGCATCATGGGCTTTGAAGTTAGAACTGGAGTTTAATTTCTGCTTTTCTTTCCTAGCTCTGAGGAGTTGGGCAGGTTACTTAAAGTGTCTGATCCTCCGTTGCTCTGTGCCCCCTTTACAGCATTGTTAGCATTAAATGAGATCATTTTTACCAAGTGCCTGTCCCTGGCACATGTTATTTCTCTTCATCCACCTGTAGTGTAAACTATAGTGAATTTTATTTATGTAGAGTATTTGTGTATTTTCAGAATCGTCTAAAGGAAATTGAACAAAATCTCTCTAAAGTAATGAAACTTGACAATGAAATTAAAGCCTTGGAAAGCCGAAAAAAGCAAATGGAGAAAGATAATAGTGAACTGGAACAGAAAATGGAAAAGGTTTGTGATGGTAGAATTTTGTTCTACTTCAAAATTTTGAGATGATTGTAGTGAACCTCATTTGAACCCATTTTGCCACTCATATTTTGAAAGAAACATACAAATTGTGATGTTTGCCTTACTTCTATGTATATGTTAAAAGAAAGGATATTGAATAAACTTTGGTTCATATTTTGTACCTCAGAGTGATAGCTTCTTATACTTATTTATTGAAGCTCTTTATTTTGGTTCTACATAGGTTTTTCAAGGGAGTGATGAGCAACTCAATGACTTATATCACAATCACCAGAGAACAATAAGGGAGAAAGAAAGGAGACTGGTAGACTGTCAGCGTGAACTGGAAAAATTAAATAAAGAATCTAGGCTGCTTAATCAAGAAAAATCAGAACTGCTTGTTGAACAGGGTAGGATAAAGTGTTTATTTGTTTTTGGGTTTTTTTTGGTAATATTATGCATTTTCTGCATGAATGATGAATCTCCAGGGAATTACGCTGAGTGAAAAAAGCCAGTCTCAAAAGATTATATACAGTGTGTTTCCATTTATGTAACATTTTTGAAATGCTAAAATTTTAGGAGTGGAGGACAGATTAATGGTTGCTAGGGTTACTGAGTAGGAGGAGGGCCAGGAAAAAGGTTATTGTGGTTATAGTTATAAAAGCAACAGGAGGGAGTCTTGTGGTATTGGAACTATTTGGTATCTTGGCTGTTGTGGTAGATTTGTTAGCCAACACAGGTGATAAAATTATATAGAACTTAATACACACACAAATGGGTACAAGTAAAACTGGAGAAATCTGAATAAGATTGATGGATTGTATCAGTGCTATATCCTGGTTGATACTATACTACAGCAGGTCCCCATTTAATATCGTTTTGTTACAACATTTTTGAGATGCGTAGGAACTGAACTCTTATTTATATCTATTAGCCTATGGTAAACTTGATTTCATTATATGTTATTTTACTTAAAGTTGAACCTATCCATGACATTAAGTGAAGACTTACTGTATAGTTTTGCAAAATGTTACTAAAAGAAAACAGTTTTTCTATTCATAATAATTCTGATACTAGATGTGTGGGTTTTTCCACATCAAGCAATTCTCCAATTCTCGGCAACTGGGTGTCCTGTAATTTAATTCAATTCTCTCACTAACTATCCAGAATTAGTACAGACCCCACAGATTAAGGGCTCCATCCCACGAGATTGCCTCCGATGTCCAATGCCATTCAAAAGGTCCAGGTTGTTTGTCACCTGTACTTCTGACCACCTGGCTATATAAATCAGGTGTTCCCACAACCCCTTCCTCAGGTTAAATACTTTGCTATAACAGCTCATGGAACTTAGGGAAACACTATTACCAGTTTATTATAAGGGAGTCAGCTCAAGAACAGCTAAATGGAAGAGATGCATAGGGCAAGGATGGGGAAAGAGTGTGGCACCCTCCCAGCACCTCCATGTGTTTACCAACCTGGAAGCTCTCAGAACCTCGTTTAGGAGTTTTATGAAAGTTCCATTGTGTAGGCATGATTGATTAAATTATTGGTTATTGGTGATTGAGTTCAATCTTCAGCCCTAACCCAGAGCTGGGGAGGAGGATACTAAAAATTCCTGCTCTCTAATCACATAGTTGGTTCCTCTGATAACCATCCTCCAAGAACCACCTCATTAGAAATAAACTCAGGTATGGTTGAAAGGGATTTATAATGAATAGCAAGACACTTCTGTCACCCTTATCACTCAGAAATTCTAAGAGTTTTAGGAGCTCTGTGCCAGGAACCAGGAACAAAAACCAAATATGTATTTCTTATTAATCACAATATCACAGTTACCATTTGTGGAAACTGGGCAAAGAATGTAAGAGATCTTGCTGTATTATTTTTTACAACTACATATGAATGTACAATTATCTCAATTTTTAAAAAATTAGCTAAACAAAATAATTATTATGGTTTTTAAAAGGTCGTCTTCAGCTACAAGCAGATCGTCATCAAGAAAATATCCGAGCCAGAGATTCATTAATCCAATCTTTGGCAACACATCTAGAATTGGATGGCTTTGAGCATGGACCATTTAGTGAAAGACAGATTAAAAATTTTCACAAACTTGTGAGAGAGAGACAAGAAAGGGAAGAAGAAACTCTCAGCCAACTGATGGTAAATATTATTATTTTCTTTTGTTTGTGTCAGATTCTCTAGTTGAATTGTTTCAGTATTTGGATGGACCTTGTTTTGTCATATTTTTGGGTTAGTATTAGGATAGAATCTGCTACAAAGTAGAAAAAACCTTTATGGAAGGAAATTTTCTAACATGTATAAGGATAAAAATATGAAGAAAATGCAGACCTACATTTTAAAGTTTGATTTTAAGTAAAATTTCTTTTTAAAACTAATGGTAAAGAAAAAGTTTGTTCAGCGTTAATAATGATTTCTCTCAGTGATGGCCATTCCATATATTTATACTTTTTTATATTTTCCTCAGTGTGCATGTTCACTTTTACAATGAAGAAACTTTTGCTTAACGAATTGTTTAGTGAAAATATTGTTAATACTCATTCTTCTATGTATTTAGAATGATTTTGCAGAAAAAGAGTCTCTGAAACAAAAACAGATAGATGAGATAAGGGATAAGAAAATTGGACTGGGAAGAATAATTGAGCTAAAATCAGAAATCCTAAGTAAGAAGCAGAATGAGCTGAAAAATGTGAAGTACGAATTACAGCAGTTGGAAGGATCTTCAGACAGAATTCTTGAACTGGACCGGGAGCTCACAAAAGCTGTAAGAAATTATTTGAGTAGTTTAATAATTTTAAGGTGCAGTTAGAATCTTGCATTCTGAAGTATTTTATCTGTTGTTAATCCTAAGTTTATGGCATGTTAATAAATATATCAACCTTGTCTAACAATCTCATGTAAAATGAATTCATCTGAATGTCTTAATCACTCAACTCTTTGGTTCTGGAACCTGGTGGATTAAGAATTAGAATCTTAGAATTAGAAAGCTTTTTAACAATACTTATGCTTAGATCTTACTTCAGATTTACCTTCCAAATCAAAGTCTCTTAGAGTATGGAAATGTGTGTTTAAAGCAAAACTAGGTGATTCTTATTAGTACCTTGGTTAAGAACCACTTACCTAAGTTAAAAAAACAAGTATTTTCCTTCTAGGTTCTACACACTGTAGATTTCATAAGATTGTTGCCATGTTATCACTTTTTCTGTGGTGGAAACTTTCTTAGCCCATCTATTCTTTTCATGAATGTCTAAATTTTCTTCCTTGTTTCCAATCTGTCATCTTCCTTCACATCTCCACCACTAAAGTGAGTATCCTAAAGCTTGGCAAATCTCCCTCTCAGATTCCATATTGATAATTTAAGAAAATGTTTCTTTTTGCTCCCTAACTTAACATCAATTGTACATTTTTGTCAGTTGAGCACTTTATCACAATATTGTCTTATAACGGGGAGGGACCACATCACATTATTTTTATAGTTTCTACACACCAGGCAATGTAGTAGTTACATGGGTACTTGACAGATACTTAAGTATTGACTGAAGAGTCACTAAACTGTATACTTGGACACATTTTTCTTAATTTTGC